ATCGCTATCCGTTGCTCTGGAAAAAAGAGTTTTTGCAAATTCGAACAATAAAATTATTATAAAATCTTAATCGGGAATTCCCCTTTGCATAAATAACGCTGTGATACTGCTGGTTTGTGTCAGCTAATTTAATGAATTTCATTCACTTCAGTAATGGCGACAAAGCAGATCAAGTTGACAGAGAGCAGCCCAGCACACAGTCATCTTCTGAGAGGATCATATATCATGAAAGAACTCATAGTGAGGTAAATGAATAAAAATACTTGAGCAACTAGGATGTGCTAGCAAGCAGAGATGGTATTCAGCCTCATTATGATAAATAAATTGCATAGTTGCGGTTTTCCAGTGATGAAGTGCTTTTTAATTGAATGTATTCATGCAGATAAAAGCATGGGTTGAACGAATGCTCGATAAAGGGATTATGGAATTGCGTAGAGAATTTATTCAGTTGCGACTCTCGACGAATCCAACTGAGGATCAGTACAAGCATTTCACTGCGAATGCACCGTTTGGTAACGATATTTTGCAGTAACGCTTCATAACAATCAAGGTTCTTATGAGCTAAGCCGATAGAGCACAATCAAAAGATAATGCCACTTCGAGAAGGCACTTGTTCGCTCATGTTTTCTGGTAGAATAAAGAAATTGTTCCTTCCAACCTCAGAGATTCGTTGAAAAGGCCTAGTGATTACTCAGTAACTGTCCAACGTTTCGTTTTGTTGTTTCCTCATGAGCTGATCGTCGCATCGATTGCGAATTCAAAATTATGGCTTGCTGAAATGGTTTATCGTCAAATTACGCTAATTGTCACATCTACTGTCCATCCATATTGGAGGTCGTAATCGATACTGTGATGTCTACTGCCTCGATGAATCAAGAATCGTTTTGCGCAATCATCCAAGCGGAATCGATTACATACATGCCAATTATGTGGACACGCCATCTACAGCACATCGTTTCATTTGTGCACAGGTTTCGAGATTCAACATCCTCTCACGCTTCATTCGTATCGTTAGGAAATTGAACTCGCCAACTGTATATTCTTTCTTCGATAGTCGGTAGAACCCTAATTGACTAGAAACTGCGCTGTAATTGTTTTTGAACATTGCTGTATTATATGTGAGTAGTGAATGGTGTGCGAGTTTCGTGGAATGATTTCAGTATTTCATTCGAACACTTTATATTCTACACTGATCGTCACATTTATATTCTGTAATTCACAACAGGCACCAAAAGACGGAACAGTTTATGATTTTTGGCTGATGATTCTGCAAGAAAACATCGAAAACATTGTGATGCTCGGTGATTTTGTTGAAAAGGGACGATCCAAATGTGCTCACTACTTTCCTGAAGAAGAGAATGTCCTATTTGAAGTTAACGATATCAGTGTTGAATGCACAACGGTAATGTTCTTACCACCACCACCTAACATCAAATTTTTGCAGTAGACTTATCGAATTGCCTCCCCCCCCCCCCCCCCCCCCCCCNTCGGCAAAGTCTCACAAAAACGATGACAAATGAAAAACTGTGATGATAGTTGTACTCTGGTAGATTACCGCATTAACGATTTGCTTAACATTGAATTTTCTGCATTCTAGAAGACCGCGCTGAAAGAGTTCTCATCGAACATCACGCAGCGGTCGTTGAAAGCAACCCGCAATGGTAAAATTCATAAAGTGAAGCATTATCACTGGTCTGTTTGGCCTGACCAGGGTGTGCCAAATGTCGACCATTCGCCCTTCCGTCTTTTACAGAGGGTTCGAGTTTTCTTTGTTTGCATGGTTTTATTCGATAATTTTGATGGAACTGAACTGCAGCATCACTAGAAAATTCATGATTGATCTTTAGGTTCGTTCATCGAAATTTCCAATTTGTATTCATTGCTCAGCTGGTATCGGTCGAACTGGAAGCATCGTAGTGATTGAATATATCTTGGATCGACTTAAAACCAATAAAAATTTTGAAGATTTAGCAGAAATCGTGAAACAGTTGAGAAAGCAACGTGCTGGTATCGTACAAACTGATCTTGTAAGTTACGAATATGAATTGGTTGATTTTGTTACAAACGTACATTTCTACCTGTCACGTTTCTGTCTAGCGCAGTGGTTCTCACGTTCGGGTACTTTATTACCCTTTTTGGTGATCTGGCAAGCCGACGTTTACCCTCCCCCCCCCC